CCAAAAACAGGACTGGCACTAACATTAGGCAGAATGAGGCAGTTGCCTCAGGCAGCAGACGCAGAGAGGGGGCAGGAAAGTGCTGCAGGAGAGAGCCGTGGGCCCGGTGGCCAGCCCTGTGTCCCCCGTGAGAGTCTGCTGCAGTCCTGCGCAGTGGAGGATGCTGCCCGTTGCTGGTGCTGACTGATTCACCTCCCCGTCGGGTCAGCTTTTACAGGGGGCAGCATCCAGTTCTTTGCTTCAGGCAGCAAGGCACGCCCTGTTGCCCAGCCTTCCCTGCTGCTCTGGCCACCCGTGCCTCACAACACTGAGGACGGCAGCAGTCAGAGCCCGCACTCCTCCTGGCCTTCCCACAGCTGCCTTCTCTGCCTCGCCCCCGGGCATGACGACAGGTGGCAGCAGGTGCTTGCTCTCTGTGATGACTGGGAGGGAGTCAGCGACCACTGCCTGGCCACCTTCTGTCCCCTTCTCCCTCAGCACCAGCTGCAGTGGCAGCCAGTTGCTCTCTTTCCACCCAATGACAACGGTGGGAGGGCAAGAGAGTTAGCAGCCCCCTTTCTTCACCACCACCTTCACCTCTCCCCCTCCCAGCCATGATGGCCTGTCCTCTCGCTCCTCCTCCTCCTTTAGGCCTCCTGCCTTCTCAGTTGCAGCCCTCCATCACACTCCACTGGCAGCTTCCCACTTTGTGCGTTTCTCGCAGCATCCCTTGATATGCCTTCCTAATGCCTTTGTACAGGGAGCTTGCCTGTGCTATGGCAACACAAGCAATCTCCAGAGCAGTGTCTTGCTGCAAGGAAGCAATGGTAAGAGTGAGGCATTTGGGCCAGTGAGGCTTCTGCGCAATGTGTGAGACTTACTGGCGAGTCTGTCCACTTGATGCTGGCAGTGTTTGGACAGGCCCTCAAAGCAAGGCATCAGGCAGGTGCATTCCTGAGAGATGGGCCAGCCACTCTCACCATGCTGAAAAAGCAAACCAGCACTGCTTTCTCTTCTCTGGGTTGTGGAATCCACTGCCCATTGGTGGACTGCACCCCGCAGATTCTTCCCAAACAAACCTGAATTTTACCTAAAGAAAGTTCCCTCTGCAGAGGTCTCTCTCAGGCTGTGGCCTCTCTCCCCTCAGGCCAGATACAATAGCTGTTGCTGTTCATCCCTTCCTGGGCATTTACCTGGATGAATCCAGTAGTTCTTTCTTATTGTTACAGCCCAAGAAGGGGCATTCATTCCCATCGTGGAAGGCTGGCCCTGGGTTGGATAAATGGGTCAGAGGACATTTCCCTGATTCCTTCCCCTCATTTCTCCCCAAACAAATTCCTAGGCTCCACTATTTTTAGGAGATTGGTCTATAGAAACATAGCAGGTCAGAAGGGTCCTCCTGGGCCATCTAGTCTGACCCCCAGCACAAGTCATCTCTGCTCATGGAATCTCCAATGTGTGGGTATCCAATCTTTCCTTGGATGTCCTCACTGATGGGGCCTCCACCACCACCCATGGAAGCCCATTCCATATCCTAGGGGTCCTAACTGCCAGGAAGTACTTCCTGACATCCACCTAAAGCTCAGTCTTATCTAGCCCAGTGCAGTGGCTTGGGGATCTCTCTCAATCCTGCTCTTTTTAGCTGGAAGTGCCAGTTAAACAATTCTGCAGGGAAATAATATATTATGCTCCATAACAGTTGGAGGTAGCCCTGTAGGTCAACTAGACCAGTCCTCTGTCTGAAGCAATAAATGCAGAGCTAGAGCATTTCTATCAGATGTTTGCCTGGCCTCTGACTGGAGACCTTCATTCAGGAAAAGAACCTTCTTTGCTGTAGGTAGATGGTTTCCGAACAGCTCTTCCTGTTAAGACGTTTCTCCTAATGTTCAGTCAACATTCCTGTAGCTGAAGCCCATTAGATCTAGTCCTTCGTCTTCCCCTGTGTGATAGCCTTTCAGCATTTGAAATATGCTATCATATCCTCCCTCCCCCCTGCACCCCCAGTCTTATGTCCTCCAAGCTAAACATATCCAGCTCCTTCAATCTTTCAAACTAGGGTTTGTTTTGCTTGCCCCTGACTATTTTAGTTGCTGTCCTCTGCATCTGTGTTCATTCAGCAGAACCTGACCATGAACACAGGAAAAGGGAGGAAAATGGTCTATTCTGCAAGATGTTGACCTTGACTCTAGTCTTGGTTGATTTGAATTGTTTTCCCCACTTCAGTTCTGCTGCAGTATCATGTTTAGAAATATCTTTGCTATTTTTAGAGCCCTTTGTGAATGGCAACTCAAATATTGCTTGAACAGCAGTCCCTCTGCTTGTATAGACTGGCAATTTGTCTCCTCAAATCCACCACTTGCTTAGATTTCCACATTACAAGACTGGGAGCACAATCAGTGAAAGCTGAGTGCCATTATTGAAACAACAAGACCATATGGGGTCAGTTTAGTTTGTCTTCATCCCTCCTAGTATGCATTGCAGAGCTTGATACATCTGTTTCAGGTTAGTTTGACTGATCTGCTTGGGATGCAAGGGAAGGTGGAGAAAGGGAGGTGGAAAAATGAAGGTATAATAGGATAGCAAATATTTCCATAGAAACCAGTCAGCTTCATTGAAATAACATTCACAACAGAATCCTTTTCTCTTGACCTCCCCTGGAAACATCAATTGAAAAATCCTCATCTAATGGGTTGTCATGCAATTGTGTTGCATTGTTTCCACAGGTCTATTGAAAACTCTCATCTAATGCATTGTCAGGAGATTGCGTTGTATTGTTTCCACAAGACATATCTGTATAATATAGCAAATTCCTATAACCATAGAAGATTTGATGAGAAAAATCTATTTGTTAAAGAGTGGTAATTGCTTCATTTTTAGATGCATGTGCTCCTTTTCAGAGCCAGAGCCCTGTTGTCACAGAGACAATCAGATCAGAAGAAAAGCTGCTGGTCCTATTTGGCTGTACAAATATAAGCTTCTTTTCTGTTGTACCGTTCCACTCCAGGCAGGCACAATGAAACATTGAATAGAAAGGAGGGATTCTTTCATTCTTCAACAGAACATTGCCTTTCAAGTTTCAGCATTAAGCAATTTGCTCCTCATTAGGGAGTGCTGGAACCTTTAGCAATGGACAGTCAAAAATCAGCTTCTGTATGATAGACTTTGTCATGCTATCATGGTGAGGAGGCAAATGTAGCAGTGCAATAAAGGACAGTGACATGAAGGGAGCAAGTGAACCATGTTCCACGTATTTGATCTCCTGCGAGTCACCAGGCTCCAGTCAGGAGAATCATGGGCAAGTCCAAACTGGCAGACTTTTAAAGGGAAGATGTCCCCTGCTGGTGGGAAGTAGCATATCCTGGTGCTTCTATTTCTTGTAAGGCCCAGTGCTGCTTCACAACTCTCTGGGCCATCACGAACGTCACTTTAAAGGTGGGTCTAGCAGCTTTGTCTGCTACTTATTTTTATTCTGGAGTAGGCATTAGGGGGCCCTATCTTAAAAGGCACCTGACACAGGATGCAAATCTGGATTGGGACTACTGTAGGACAAAGAGAGAGAGAGAGACTTCGATATTTAAAGTAAAGCCTGTTTCAGGCCTCACTACTGCAGAAATGTACTTGCTTCTAAGAAACATGCATGTTGGATGTGCATGCGTAAATACTTTTAAAAAAGGTTCCTAAATAACTATCTTGATAAAAAAAAACGGGGGGAGGGGTAAGCATGCCCTGGCAACGGCTTGCAATGAGCTGGAGCAAAGGACAAGTCTCTGCTCCTCTCCCCTCTTCTCTTCTCCCAAGCAAGCAAGAATAATAAACAGCTTTCCTCAACTGGGTGCCCTCTGGATGTATTGAACACATCAGTTGGGGAAGACTGGAACACAAAATGCAAGGGGCTTCTTCTCCTGGCCTGGCTTTATTAGCAGAACTGTTCTTTTTCAGAATTGTCTGAGGCAGTTCTCCCCTTGCCTGAAAGCAATTCCAGATCTACAGTAACATTGCAGCTTTGGTGAGCCTTGCCAAGCATTCTTGCATACGCTGTCCTTGATCGAGAATACTTAAATGTGTTAAAAAGGAATTTAGATTTAAGGTAAAGGGTTCAGGTTTAATATTCCCTGACTGCTCTTTAGAAGGCCAGGTACTGAAAATGAAACTCAAATACTCTGGCCACCTAATGAGAAGGAAGGACTCCTAATGCTGGGAACAATAGATGGCAGAAGAAGAAGGGGACGGCAGAGGATGAGGTGGCTAGATGGAGTCACTGAAGCAGTTGGTGTGAGCTTAAGTGGACTCCGAGGGATGGTGGAGGACAGGAAGGCCTGGAGGAATGTTGTCCATGCGGTCGCAATGGGTCAAACACGACTTCGCAACTATCAACAAATTAGGAAATATTTACATTTATCTATATCATTTGAGCTTTGATACGTTTCAAACAGCTCTTGCAAACATAAATGTTCGCACAGGCTTCCCCTAACCTGTAAGGGATTATGTCACTATGTCATTGTTACTGTCATTCTTGTTAAGTTTTCAATTTATTTCTTGGTATTGTTTTTTTTTGCATTATCTTACATATTCATATTAATGTGAGTTCCTTAGGAAATGTTTTAAAAATAATGAGTCAGGTAAAAGTATTAGGAAGCCCTAAACAAGAGCAACTAATGAATAATTATGAGAAATGCTTTCAAACTGTGGTAGTAAAACAAACAAAAAAACTCAGTAGGTGAATTACTTATACTGGCTGTTGGTCAATGTAAGTGCCAGCAAAAAACTTAGTCGAGGTGAGGGAAACAAGAGGGCCTCTTTTATGGGAAAGATCTCTTTGGGTAGAGAAAAATCCTGTGTTTGGGTAAATCCAATACAAGGGTCTGCACATGGACATTTAAGACACAGTGAGCTGAGCTGAGGTCAAATTATGGAAGATTCTTGTCAAAGTTGTCTATGGAGTCTCCCCAGCAAGCTTAATTACTTCCATAATGAAAGGGAACATATTACTATTTTGAAAAAATATACTTCACCCAACTGGATAAACTGAAGTGTTTTTATTAATAATCATCTTACATTACAAGTATAATGTATGACAAAAGGAAAGTTCTCGTGTACATACAATGATATATCAACATAGCTCTATTCGTATCCAGTGTCCTAGCCCCTCTCACACAGGTACTATAAAGCATAGTCCGCAAAGTAATAACATTTTTAAAACATTGTCAGAAAAAGTGTGATATTAACATTTTAATACATATGTAATAATAGATTTTTAGATTGCTTCTCCCCCTCCCTCATTTACATGTGTGCATGGTCAAACTAACAGTTTTGGACTGGGGTGGTGAGGGGAAGGGGGGAAAGGCAAACATGAGGAGAAATTTTCACCCCCCCTTGATTCTTGTAAAGTGAGTATGTGGAGATGCCTGAATAGGGGGAATCTGGCTGCTCCCCTACTTGCATTTCTGTAATTACAGTCTGTGCGATGTGTCTCCCCTGCACTGGCTGGGGAGTTTTCTATACATGAGGTGCAGTGCTTGAGGGATTTCAGTACAGAGCAAGGGCGCTTTGTTGGCAGCATGCGGGCTGGAGAAGAATCCAGTAGCCATGAGAAAGTAACTAACTACCCTTGAGGTTCAGTCCTGAGGAAAGTGTTTTCTAGGTAGCCATTCTGTACAGGTTTATACTCTACAGTCCTGAAAGCTTGTGGAGTTTCAGGTAGGCCGGGTTTGTAACTGAGGTGAGTTTCCAGAGTTGTGTGGTGGCTAAGCCCTGACATTATAGCAAGAGGATAACAAAGCTGCATCATCAGAGGTGCATGGCACAAGCTCGTTCAACAGAAAAGCTGCACAACACCAGTGCAAGTAGTCACTCTGTTGAGGAAAAACTATTCCCACATTCCCCCCAATAATCATAACAACAGCAACGACGACGGAACTTGCATAAGGCATTACATAGTGCCTGGATGACCTTATATGCGCCCCATCCCCTTCCTGGGATAGAGCCACTAAGTAGCATTGTATTAAAAGTCTTTTGTTATCCTAATGTGTAAGGTTCCTGTTTAACTAACTGAAAATTTATTTTTTTCAGCTTCAGAAACTGAATGGCTTTGCTTAAATCAAAGCAAAGAAATGGGTTGTCCAGCTCGAAGACCTTTCAGCACCTATTTACAAAAGACCATCAGTGAAAACTGCACAAATCTGCCATTCATATTCAAAGGGCATGATCACATTACGCTTTTGCTGGAGTGGTTGTCATAATGCCTCAAGCCAATGCTACGGAAATCTGTTTGGACTACAGGATACAGTGTTCTCTGTCTGGTATGAGTCTACTGTCCACCTTGAAAGTCGTTTAGATGATCAACCAGTTTGCTCAGTTAACAGTGAAAAAGTAGCTGCTCTTTGAAACGTAACCAAAAGGATGGTGGTAGCTAAGGAAACACAGTGCAACTGCATGTAGAGGGAACACCAGTGGCATAACTCCCTGGCTAAATACATTCACCTATTTAACATTGCACTCAGAGTTTTATTCCTATGCTACATCCCCTCTCTATAAACCATTCTCTCCCTCACTTTGAAATCCTGTGTTCCTCCTACAAACAAATGCTGCACTCCTACAATGCGGTGGATGAACGCAAGTGCTCCTGGAATTAGTGGGACTTGCCCACACACAACTGATGCCTGAGTTGCACTCCAAGTTTACCAGACCATTTGCTTTGCTGGCTAGCAAACCCAGCAACCGAGCCAGAGCACAAACTGTATTGCAATCCGCACTCATTCGGTCAACACAAGCAGAGGGGGGAAGTGCACAAGTAGGTTGGACATGGTAGCCAAAGTGAGAACAGGCACCCACAGCTATGCAACACCAACAGGTTCACCCCCGCCCATCACAAGATGGTTCCGGTACTGTTACACAGTCTGTGTTTAGCACTTTACCATCTTTGCCAGCAGAATTCCCTTTTCTAGCTGCAGCAAAATATTGATTACTGAATAGCTCTCTTTAGACAGACCTTGGAGTAAGACTAAAAGCCACTCATTTAGCCTTCCTGAATGACCTGAGGACTTTAGTCTTCATTAGGACTGTATGCCTCTTACATTAACACAGGGCCTGCCTTTGCACCAGAGCAGACAGTTCTTTTTCTAAATTTCATATTTTATCTATTGAAAACATAGAAATATATATAAATATAAAGTCTTTTTATATATAGTGATATATATATATATATATATATATAGGCATGTGGATACATTTTTACATGTGTATATGGATTTTTATGACACATACAGACTATGGGCAAAGTGTAGCCAAAGTTGAAGTCCTTTGTCACACTGATTTAAATGGGTCCCCAACTCTCCCCCACTGAAATCAATGGATCTCTGAAGTGCTTGACTTTAGCTGGATCATGCCCGTTGAGTGCAATCCAGAGAAAGTTGTGTGTGCTGAAGTCCCACTGTAAATTACAGGATTTCTGAAGATCAAGTCTCGCTGATTTCTTTAGATTGCACCTTAAACAAGCAGGTATTGTGTGCATAAAGCAGGTTTCAAACAGACTCATTTGACTTGCCTCCAATGTGAGACAGGAATTGCATAGATATTGTCAGAGTTCAATGGCTGAGGGACATAGTACCATGTCAATACTGTTTGGAAGATATGTTGGTTGGTTTAAATTGAGGGGTTCTGACTAAACCTATGGGCCTCCCAACACGTTGTTATAGAAATGTCAGCTCCAACTCGCTAGCAGAAACAACATTAGCAAAATCATTTAGTGGCCACATTTTTGCTGTGTGAGCCAAGTCTTTGCATGGTAGTTGGGAACCCATACCAGCAAAACGTGCAAGCCACAGATAAAATCTGCACATATGATTAGCCTCAATGCCTGATGTAAGAGCACATGCTTCATTCTCTGAGCATTTGTGCTTATTCTGTTTTTGCTGATATTCAAAGAGCTTTGATTTCCTGTTTTGCTACTACAATCCCTGTTGTGTTTGTCTTGATGGCCATGGGAACTGGAAGGCTGCATGAAAAATAACATCAGTGTTTCTTAGCATGTTGCTGTCAGACAGAAGCATACACCTGTAGAAAAGCCTGAGTTAACAGAGAGCTAACTGAGAAATCTGCACTCAGATCCCATTAGAGTTGAAAGTTTCCAGAGGAAATCAAGGGGTAGAGATAGTTCTGCACAGACAATCACAGTCAGATGCTGTACAGGATGAAAACATTTGATTACCAATAATACCTCTTTGTCATTTAGAGTCGAAAGAGACCACTTATTCATAACAGGATGCCTGATTCATTTGGTTTCTTAATTTGGATATTTTGAACTTGACCCTTTGGCTGGGTACTTTTGAAGCCTGACCCCTTTCATCTCCTCCCTGAAAGAGAAACCTGCAAAATATATTTTGAGTAAGTACCATCCAAGCAATTTCCAGCAGGCAAATTAATTCTTGTTCTTCTCTGCTGCATCACACTAGGCACCACCAAGGATTTGGATGGCTGATGCCCTCTAGTGTCCCTTACTTTTCATTACACTTTTCCCCAGCCTCTCTTCAGGCTGGTTGGATTGAAATTGTGGCCAAACAGATAGCTAGAGCTAACAACTAAGCATAGGCAAGGATTCGACTCAGTGCAATTATTCAAAGCTCCACTTCCTCCAAACATAAATGATGACTGGAATAAAGGTATGTTTTAGCTGGCAATATGACGTTTTTATTGTAATTCTTAACCAGCATTCTTACACAGCTAGCTGTAGACATACACGCTCCTGAAGGTCATTACATGATCTTGCTATGTGATCCCCTAAGCAATGCTCATAAAGTTGTTATATTATTCTTATTCATTAGGACATTTATCAAATGTTTGCTTTTAGTTAAAGCATGAGACAAATGCACATCATTTTGTATAGTGTTATAGGCTGGATTCTTGGGACCTGGCTAAACAACTAAGGACTCCATCTGGTGCTGCTGCCTGTGCTCCCTATGTACTTGGATGATGATGAGGATTCAGTGGATAGGAGGAGAAGCACACAGGAGGGGATTGCCTTGGCGCTGCTCCTCCCTCCAAAGCACTTACATTTCAGACATCAAAGTGCTTTATACTGACTTGTGAGGAAATGAGCCAGAGGCACCCCCAGGATTTTTTGCTCCTTTCCTTCCTGCTCCCCAGTGTCAACTCTGAGATTGCTCTTGAGGTCTCAGAGCTGCAGCTGGTGCAAAAAGAACTGTACCATCCACAAGGGTGGGGAGAGACCAAATATGGAGACTCAGATCCAGCCTTGGAGTGCTTCTCTAAAGTCATAGTTGGGACTCAGATTACCCTTTGGACATCTAGACAGCTTCTAGAAGCCATAGGATTGAGGCCTAATAGTGCTACTAGTGAATATTAGATGTGGACATTACAACTTAATGACATGACTGGATTTCAACATAGCTACATATTTATTCTACGAATAGCTTATCTTTTTAAAATTAAAATAAGCAACACTTCTCACTAGGTATAGTTTCATGAGCCTAATGGCATATTTAGTGTGTAACCCTTTAGCTTAGTTTTGATCGAGATAGGTTAACTATTTGCACATAAGTAGAAAACATTTTTTTTGGTTGGGAGGAGAGTTAATTGCCAGGAAATATAGAGCATGATCCAGCCAACCTTAATTTTTGTACTGGTGAAATAATCATATAATTGCCTCTTCTACTGAAACCAAGAAGATTTTAAATAGCTTAATTATGGCTGGACTGTACCCTAACTTAGTTACAGTGTGGTCATATTTTCCAACATACTCATGGGCAGCTCCGAAAACCCTAAAAATGAAAGAAGTAAAAGCTTTCAGAGACACTTGCATCAAGTATTTTCCTTTTCTTAGCATCCCGGTCATTGTGATCTCTCCCTGACCCCTTTACAACATTGATATACATATAGAACATTCCATACCTATTTTACTGTTAATTTAATTTTGTGCCTCCTGCAACCCATTAAGACTTGTGCCTACGAGTAAATCAGATTCAAGAAGGGGTGTCCAGACTTCCTTTACAGTTTGGCAAAGATAGACAATGACACAGAAGGGATATAATACCGATGGGCTCATGAACATGAAAGTGAAACATCTCTCTTGACAGAGGCTAAAGATAATCTATGTTCTAGAAAAATCCCTCTTGTTAAACATGATAATGCAGAAGCAATGCAAATTACCTAGACTGCCTCATGGCAAGGTTTCAAAAATTGTGTGTGCGTACTTTAGAAATGTCCTCTTCTTATTGTAAACCATGATTTGAGTTGACGTTCCTTAGTCTCCTTAGTCTAGTAATTCTACTATAATACTAGCACATAAAGGGAATATTGCAATGTATAAACCACATTTTTAATCCTATAAATTATCTTGAACTGTGTATGTCACTATTCTGATAATGTTTATTTCTCCTATTTATTTCAATCCATTCCGAAAGAACTAGTTAAAACATTTCATTTTACCAGATTGCAGGGCTATGCAAGCAACTGGGCAACAGATACTTTGCAGGCCTATAAAATAACTAAAAACCATTGTCAGGAAGAAGATAGTAGAAATGGCTGCATAAACAGCAACTTCTTGTGTCCTGTTTCAGTGAGTGGTGGCAGCAGCTGCCTTGGAGTTAGTCTCTCTAGTGAACTGAGTCCTTTAGAGGTGCAAGTGGTTATTGCTAATCCTATTCTTTTACTGCCTATGCACACAGTTACGTTTGGTCACATCAATGCTCATTAAACCCCAAACAGATGTTGCCATGCTTAGAAAAGTGTTCTACAGTCCTGTAAAAATATTCTCTATTAAGTACTATAGTTGCGTTGATACTCATGCTGCTATAATTACAGTCAAAACTAAGTTGCTTTAATCTTTGCTAAAGCAACTTCCTTCTCTCCACAGCAATCTCATTCTCCACTATGACTCCAAAGTGGGCGATACTAGAAAATATGCATTTTAAGTCCAAAATGCTGCTTGCAAAGTAGAATATGTGTGTGAGAGAGAGAGAGGGAGGGAGAGAGGGAGGGAGGGGGAGAGAAAGATAGAGAGATGCTGGCTACTATTGGAAAGCAGACAAGCAATATCTGTGCTTTGTTTCATTTTGTATACTTTGTGTATCTGTGTGTGTGGGTGGCTGGGTGTGGCAGGGGAAGTGGAGTGAGAAGGCAGTGCATGAATCTGGGCAGTGGACATCACTAAAGGTATATCTGCACCAGTTTGTTTTTGTGCAAGGAGGCAGTGCAGTCTGCACCTCATGCTGTCTCCTGGCCCTGATTACCTCAATTGGCCTTCTATTTCTTGTCCTACCCCCCCCCCCCACACACACACACAAACACACACACCATGGAAATCAGTACTGCTTTACAAAAATAGCAACATCTGTGCAAATGAGCTCAATTAATGTCTGCTATGTCTCCTTTCCTAACTCCCCTCCTCTTTCTCCAAGTGATGCCCCTTTACTTAATCATATAATTCCATTTTTAAAAGAAGGTTCTTACGCTGATATAGTACATTTGCTGCAGACAACACATCTCACTTTTTGCTATTCTCTCCACCTTCTTTTTTCTGGTGGTAGTCAGGCCTAGTTAGCTTGACCACTTCAGCTACTTTACAATCATATGGAGGTGACATCAAGGTACTGTCCCTCCTTTTCTACTTCCTTTGCAAACCACATCATAGATATGGTGTATGTCTTTTTAAGAGTCCTGAAAATATAATCACATATGTCCATCAACAATGTGAAGATTAATCCTGGACAACAAAAGGATGGATTGATTGATGCAGCAATGGACACTGGTGCAGATATACCCTAAACAAAACCGGTTTAACAACATGCTACATTATCACTGAAAACATACTGTTTAAAAATAAAATTATATATATTTATATAAATGAGAAGCTATCATCTAGCAGCAACAGTTCCAGAGATACTTTAGCACCAAGACCAGAGGGAAGGGCTGGGGGAAAAGGGGTGGGGGTAGAAGGGAGGAATATGGAAAGGTTCAGTGTAACTGACATCATTGCCGTATTTCCAAAATAATGCAGACTGGCATGAGGTTAATGCCTCTGGAAGCATGCCATCCTAGCTGTTTTTCTAGGCAAAGGGGGTTCCTTTGATTCCTGTCATTATCCAGTATTGTCATGGCACTGCCCTATGGCATATTTGGCAGGGTATGGGCACAAACAGTAGTGAAGATTTTGTGCTCATTTGGACTTATTTAACCTGAACCACTGAAGTTGAGAAAGACAGACAGACAGACAGCTCTCCACAAATGCATTTATGATTTCAGCTGTAAATCCCACATGTCTGCCAGACTAAGCAGCCTTCCACAGGAATATGCACAATGTTTCTTTTTCTTTTTTCTGCCACACAGTGGAACTTTAAACCTTTAAAAAGCAGGATATGCAGACATCTAGAAGGACCTTGCCCTAAGATAACAACCAAAGATGGATCTTGCATTGATATCTCCTGCTACAGCAATATAGCAGGCATTTCTTTCACTCATTAAAAACAAAAACAAAAAACCAAACGAACAGAAGACACAACCCATTTATGATTATAAAGACTGAGTATAAATAACATAAAATTAGTATACATATATTTTAAGCCCTGGAGCCTCTACCCTATTATGGGACTTGGCTCATTGGCTATCTAGCTTCCACAGCAGCCTGGGTTTTCAGTAAAGAGTTTTAATTAATTCTCTTATCTCCTACTATATAAAAATATAAATGCAAAAAACAACCTTCCTTCCCACCAAATTCCCTGTCTTCTGCATTATCTTATTTCCATCTGATCATGCTACCATTATTGTAAGATAAATGACTTGTTAGTAGACTTTTCACAGGAGGTTTGCCTTACACTGAAAATGCCCATTGGTGTGTGATACCAAGAAAGGGCTCGTTGACAGAAAGGAAAAAGGTTAACCATACTGCCAGAAGAATGAGTGAGAATCCACCCTGACCTAGAAGAAACAGGGTAGCTGGAAAGGAATTTCAAGAGGTATGAACACGGTTCAGAAAAACCCTTGAGCATAAGCAAAGAGCTGAAATGGCTCAATAGCCGACTAACAAACGGCAAAGAATAAAACAGACATAGACAAAAGCATAGTGAGAAGTAGGACGACATTGGCCTGCCACATCTAGCTTATAAATGCAACCAGTTTGAAATGCAGACTATGGCCCCAGTACACGTTTCTGAAGAAATGAAATGTTGCCACCTACATTGCAGCTGCCACGGTTGAAGATGTCAGTAAATGCTAAGTGTTGTCTTGTTCTTAAAAATTCCTCTTAGTTTCCATCAGACAAGTTTACATTTTCAGTGTGGGGTTTACATACATACATACATATATATAATACATATATATATATATATATATATATATATTCATATAATATATCAAAGCTTAAAGTATTGATTAAAAAAAAAACAAAAAGGATTCAACAGCTTTCTAAACATGAGGCATTCCTTGCTAAATATCCGGGTAAAACTCCGATCCATGGTCCATGCTCTGCAGCACTGGTTTCTGATCCAGGGAGGACATCCTGCTCAGCATTTCTGCAGACAGTGCATAACTATTGCTAGATTTCTCCTCAAACCAACTATCGAGTGCCCTCTTGGCTTCAAAGTTGGCAATGGGTGGCCCATTAACAGCAATTGTCAAAAGATCACTGAGCTGTTCCAGAGTGAGCCGGGAACGATTGTTTTTGCGCACTCTCTGAAGGGCACTGCGTCCCTTTTCGCAGCAGGCTGTGGAGGTGGGAAGGACTTTGAGGATCTGAATTATTTTATTTAGAAGGGGAAATCTCTGTCTGTATTTACAAATGTGACCGATTAAATCTTTAAACCCATTTTTGGTATAATAATCCACCTTGAGTTCTCGCCATTCCATGAGCAAACTCCCCCTGGAATCCATGCCCTCCCTGTTGATCTCTGTGGAAAAGGATGGCACAGCTTCCAGATGTTCAAATATCTGCACCATGTCTTCCCTGCCATAGCTCATCAGCTCCTCTGCACTTCTTGGCCAAGCTCCAAGGTCAAACACCTGGCATGCCTTCACAAATGCACGGCTACGGGGCTCAAACCTTTGAGCTAGAATCACCTGGGTCTTCTGGCATATCTTTTCTCGAATTGACTGGAATTTGGCTTCGGCCACCCGTAGGTTTTTCACAGCAACGCCATTAAAGCTTTCACGGAAATTTTCCTCAAATTCCTGGAGATACTCGCCAGGAGAATCTGCTAGCCTGCTGATCTCTTGGATGGCCTCCTCAATTTTGTCATCTACTTGTGACACAAGGAGGTATTCACCTTGGAAAACAAAGGCAAGGCGTGAAAGTACAGCAATTACATCCAGCAAAAAATATATCAGCTTAATTGACTGGTAGTCCATAAGGAACTGTAGGAGAGCCAAGGCAATAGCAGATGCATCTGCCCTTTGTGTTTGGCCACTGACGTCTTTGAGATGGGCCACCACTTCTAGGTAATCCTTGATCAGAGCGTTGAGGACATTTTGCTCCCCAATTATCCATTTGACTGCTCTAATGTCTCCCAAGAACTCTGTTTCTTCACAGAGAGTAGCAGCTGTCACCCTCAGCTCACACATCAGCCTCGGGGAGTAACGGTAAAAGCTGAGCAATTGCTTCAGGTTGTTCTCCAGCTCCTCCAGGCATGGAAGCTCTTTTCCGCTAATTGCATCCAATACTTCCAAGTGTGGCTTGTGTACCATAAGGGGTAAGCAGAGCAACCAAGGCAGGGTCTTTCTGATTGTCATGTACATGTTAGCTCTAAGGCTGGCAGTAATGTTAGCACCATCTATTCCCAAACCAACACTTGGCTTTTCGTCCTGCAGCCTTATTCCCAGGGAGGAAAAGGCCCTATCTAATGCTTGCACATAACTATCAGTTGTAGAAAAGCCCAGCTCTTGGAGAGAGAGGAATTCTGTGGCTGGAGGCCCATCACTGCTGATATACTGTACATAAACTGCAACAGTGTCAGCAAGTAAGTCATCACTCTGCCCATCCAAAATGATGCTGAGGAAGGGAGATTGCCTGACCCGTTCGACAAGATCCTCTCTAAGAGCTCGAGCGATATGGTGTATTAAGATTTGACAGTCTCCCTCATTCATGTACTGATCCACCACTTTGAGTTCACACTTTCTCAGTAGTTCTGCAAGAGGCCTGAAGTCACTATAGGGCCGGCCTTCCATAGCTAAATGGTAGGCTGTGTTGAAGAGCAAAGTCATATTCCTGCACATCTCTTCTGTCTTCTCCGGGTGCATCCTGAGCCTGTAGAGCTGCAGGCACTTCTTGTGGAGGTTGCTCTGGCTATGAAGTTTTATAGTGTGTATCTTAAATTGCTTAGAGCCAATGATGAAGGCTGAAGTCCGAGAAGATTGCACCGTATACTGCCGGCAGACATGGCACCACATTTCATTAAGTGTAGGGGAGTACCTCAGAAACCAAAACTTCTTCAGCCACTCTTGCTTGAAGCGCCGAATCCTCCTGGTAACAGCAGACATCTTGGAGGGCTCATCTGTGGCTGTGATCATGTCATTAGAGACTGATTCATCAGCTGAATCCACCTCCTGGTCATCATCCTCCATGATGGTGGGAACTGACATGATACTTTCTGAAGCTGCAAGGGAAAAAAAGAGAGGTTAAGAGAGTTCAAAGAAATTGTATAAAACAGTAATGTAATTATTCTACATCTCAACCCTTATTAAACATACCCTTGGGTTTCCAGCAAGACTGAACATGTTAGTAGAATAATTGATGGTTCATAAACATTTTGAGACCCTTCTGTTTTTAAAATCATACTATCTGTACAGCAAGCTCCCTCCTGTTACTCTGACTGCTTTCACAATCACAGAAAGTATTAATGGGACAGCATGTTCTGAAAGGAAATTAAAGAGTTCTTCAGAGTCGACAGAGTCAATCACAAGTTCCGTTAGAGGAGAGGAAAGAAGAAATATCCATTATACACTTCACACACAGGATGGGACAGTATAGTTCACACTTAATGCAGAAAACCAATCATACTCTCTAAGCAGGACTCAAAATAACATGTTATTCTTTCTCCTGTAAGGGAATGCATCAAGAATACAGCAAACAAATTCGCTGCAATGGATTTTGTTTTATTGAAAATGCACAGATTACAGTAAAAAGAAATATGATGTTTTATCATTACAAACACAATCCCACCACTATTTGATCAGAGGACTAAGTTCCTGCTCCGTAAAACTCAACATGAGGCCTCAGTGAAATAAGATGCTTCTCAGAACACTCAAGGCTGGAACATATTTAGACACAAATGGCAAAAAGGACTCTTCTTACACAGTGTTTGAGGAACACTTTTATTGTGCATGACTTACCTGTGGGGTACGAAAATGCTTGGTACTCAGGTACCTGAGGAGGTAGTAGAGGTGGCTCAGCTAACTTGCCCGATCTTAGCATATTTAGTTCGGCCTGCAACTCACGAATCTTCTTCTTTAACCGTATGCAGTTGGGACACAATGAAGTTGTTGGAATATCAAGGGCATCATCTTGAGTTGATGCCAGAGACATATCAGTGGGGCTGTTCACTTTGAATGACAAAGGTTCTTCACCTTCATCTTCGAGCAGGCCAATTTCTTTGGACATGGTGAAAGAGGAACCATGGGGGACCTTCCACTCACCCTCATTTCTGCTTCTACTGTGATTTGAGGAGCTGTGTTGAGTACCAGTTCCACAACTTTCTGAGACATCTTGAACATGGAATCTGGAGGACTTTCTAGTAGAAGGAGTGGAATTTTTTGTTATCTTGTGCTCTTCCATCTTTGTTGACTCCAGAGAAGCCTCTAGGACATCTTTGAAGATGAGATCTATTCTCTTTTTCTTTGTTTGGGGTTGTGATACACCTTCTTCAAAGCTGCGCTTGTAGGAGCTCTTCCCTTGCTTTGTTGTAGTGAGCTCAAGGGGATAGCTCATATCTTCTTGATTTTCTATATTTCTTTCTGACCTTTCCCTTAGCAATTTTTTATCTCCTGGAACAAAAAATCAGGAGTTTGGATTATCAGTGGGAATTGTGCCACAATCTTCACACCAAAAGTTAAAGCAAAAAGAAAAAGTAAAGAAAAAAAGGCAGGCTTCTGTATTTCTACATGTTGTATAACCAATAAGGAAACTTATTGGAATAAAAGCTCAAGAGCCCTAACACTGGAAAACAGTGTTTTGTCAAATGATATCTAGGTAGCCATACAGAAGTAGGCCTCAAAAGGATTTCAAAGAGAAGACCAAGTATAAGAGGCAGCTGGTTTAATATAACAGCTAGCCAACCAGTGTTGGAATGAGACTATAGCTGAGTATATTGGCTTACTGAAAATATAACAGCTTTGACTTGGTAAAAGGTATCAGATAAATAGTCCATGAAGTTTGCAATCCGGCTATTTCTACATGAAACCAGTAAACTTGAAAGACCTTTCCATATTAATCCAGAGTAACACAAGACATGAGAATGCAAGAGAATTATAATCTCATTTCCCATATTGCTTGTTAGCAAAATGAGCTAGACCAAGCAAATGATATCCAAGATTGGAGCTTATGATAGTCTCAACAGATTGCCAAATGTATGGCCCGTATTACAAATTCACCCATAAGCAGAAATACTAGGCATATGAGCAGTTACATAGAACAAAGGAAATAGCCAGATATCCTTACCTGGAAATTCAGAAGATGATGGGTTTGGTTCAATTTCCATCTTTCTTCTGTCTTGTTAATAACTCCAAGCATCAAGACACATGGTTGCTTCCCAAACAAGGTGCTGCTTTATACTGCTATATGTATTTATCTCATTATAAGATAAATCTGTACATTCATAACCGCTATAAGGTAAGCATGGAATTTCAATGCCACCATAGTTACAAGCAATTGCAACAGAGTTACCTGCTTGCAACATAATAGCAAAACTGCTGTGATGCCAGTATAATTCCAGGTTTTGTGATACTACACTGACACAGCCAGGCAACCTCACTATAGACGTCTTGTCTGTCTACAGTGCAAGTCTTGAGATCCAGCCAAAGGAATGTAAAATGTGTGGAAGACTTGAGTCAGTGCCATTCGCTACTTACAACTGGAGGTATGACACTGATCAGAGAGAGCTGTGAACATGGTGGGTGGTTCAGTTGAACAGGGCAGGTAACTCAAATTAGGCCGTTACCCCTGAACCTGGTTCACAAGCGGGTTTCCCATGCTAAGCACAGGACAGCAGTGCAGCTAAATCTCAGATTTAATGCAATACGCAATTTGTCATTAGACACAACTCTCATTTTAAATAAATAGCAAGTTTCTAGCATCAGAGGGTGTCAAAACAGGCTTAAAAGCATGCGGACAATTCTTGAAGGTGGGTGAAGGCAGTAGGCTAAGATTTGTAGGAGTCAGGATGCCAACGTGCATGAATCTTGTGCTTATCATAGGGAGGAGCAAGGGACTATGGCTACAGAAGCCTAATTAGTCAAGGGAAATAACTAAATGCATACAAATGTGTTTAATTTGCATGAATCACACAAGGGCAATGTAGATTTTCAAGTCAATTAACCAATAAACCGTGTGTGTGTGTGTGTAAATTTTATATGAATAAAGCATGAGTTCTGAAGAAGCAAAAAAGCACCCTTTGCTTGTTTAGATCAACAACACCTGTTGTTCTCCAGGAGCAATGGCTGATTGAAGTTGTAGTCCAACACACCTGGGGGGCAAGAAGTGAGGAAGAAAGTCCTGTGGCTTCCCTCACCTTTAAAGAGGTGTTCCCCCCTCTGTGATGGAAAAGAGGTTTAGTTTTTGTTTTTTTCCAAAAGTGATGCTTGCCATTCATACTTTTCCCAAGTTTTTATATTATCGACCAAGCGGTATGGTGGTTCAAGACAGACTCAGAACCTGGGAGATCCAGTTTCTGCCATGAAACTCACTGAATGACTTTGGGCCAGTCATGAACTCTCAAGCCCAATCTACCTCGCACAGTCATTGCTGTCAGGATAGAGTGGAGCTATGTAAGTTTTCTTGGCTTCCTCATGAGAGGAAAAAAGGCAAGATATAAATGGAAAAGTAACTGTTACATTTAACTGTAGTAAACAAGTACCACTATTCCTGAACTTTGTCCTGAATGGGGTTGCACTCCCTCTTAGGGACAGGGTTCGCAGCTTGGGAGTGCTCCTCGACCCAGAGCTGACATTAGAAGCTCAGGTAACAGCAGTGGCGAGGAGCGCCTTCCTTCAGCTTCGGCTGATCCATCAGCTGCGTCCCTACCTGGAGTACGACTGCCTGGCGACAGTGACTCATGTTGGGACCTGGTTATCTAAATGCCCTCCCGCCCCTTGAGATCAGCGGGGGAGGCCCTTCTCCGGGAGCCCTCTGTGAGGGATATTAGGAGGGTGAGTACCTGGAGGAGGGCCTTCTCTGTGGTGGCGCCCCATCCATGGAATGTGCTCCCCAGAGAGGTCCGCCTGGCACCGTCATTATTTGTTTTTCTTATTTAAACGATATTTTAATTGTTAACTGGTTTTTATTTAATGGTTTTATATTTGCCGAGAAACTCCGAATTTTTAATATCCTATGCCTGATTGTTTGTTCTTTGTGAGCCGCCCTGAGGCTTTGGTGATGGGCGTGGCATAGAAATGTTATATATAAATAAATAAATTCCATAATTTCCTATAGAATATTCTGGTAAGAAAGGGACCTGTGGTGCCCTCTCTGGCTATATTTTAAAACAAGACCTGGGTGTTCCATATTGCTTTTAAATGAAGGGCTGACAACTTTTATTTTCTAGAGCACTGCTCCAGAATTTTCACTGTTGTTGTTATTGTAAATATTTTCTGTTGCTTTTGTTTAGTTAACTGTACTTAAGTTAACTGTATTGTTTTAAATTTGAATTCTGTAAGCTGTCCTGAAGAATCTTTACTTCAAAAGTTGGAGTAAAAATATTTTAACTATAGGAATATTGTGTGTGTGTGTGTGTGTGTGTGTGTGTATTTTAATAGTTTATATATTTTATATATGTAAATCTCCTGCTGAATAATAAGATACAAGTACTTAATTGAGACATCTAATGGATTAATTAACAAAGGCTAAAATAATATATTTATACGGGGGTAAGCTCTTCTTACTTGGACTTACAGTGGACTTACTTGGAAGTAGACATGTAAAGGATCACAATCTAACTGCTGTAGCTATTTTTATTTATTTAAGGCATTTTTATACTCTTCAGATTTAGTCAATCTTCCTGACTCTCAGGAAGATTTACAATGATGCTCTTTTTGTGCCTTTTTGGCATAGAATTTTAAACTTTGTTGGTGAAGACCATACATAACTTTTAAATTGGGCATGGATGAAGGAGTTCCTGCTTCTTCTCTGAAAGGCCACAGTGCAAATTGCTTTAAAGAACACTATGTTCATTTTATTCTGTGAGCTGTCTTGAGAGCATTTTGTGCCCTAGAAAATGACCTAAAACATTTAAAATAAGTAAAATGATTAACTGTGATGAGTTATAGCTAAATAATCAGTTTTAAATCAAATTAAAAATGTGGTATTTTACCTGAATTTACTCATGCCTCACTGTTCTTCAGTGCACAGTGTTCAATTCTT